TTTTTTTTAAAGCTTATGGATGGGGGGCAGGAGCAGGGTGGCTCCCAAGGGCATAGGGAGGGCGGGGGGGAGTGATGGAGGCAGAGGTGTTAGGGAGTGTCAAGTGATGAAGGGATGGAGGGGGGTGATAAAAGGGGAGGCCGGGCGGTGCCTGTGGCTCAAAAGGGTAGGGTGCTGGTCCCATATGCCAGAGGTGGGGGGGTTGAAACCCAGCCCCGGCAAAAAAATAGATAAAAGGGAAGGTGATAACAGGATGTGGGAATGGTGAAGGGGTGGGGGATAGTGATGGAAAGGGAGGGAGTTGAGGATCAAGGGGGTGGAGGGAGGTGATGGAGTAGGGTGATGTTGGGAGGATGGAATGGAATAGTGGATGTGGAAGAACCTAACCCACTGGACCCTATTGGACTAATGTAGGGGGGTCATTGTTCCACCTTAATTGCAGAGGGACAAGGGGCTCTGCATTAGCACCGCTAGCTGCCATCAAAGCTGAGCCTTTTTCCTTCTCAATTCAACCACTAGCTGTATTTGAGAACTCTCCAATGAATGAATGTATTTATTTACATACCTGCCTTCAGAAATAGAACATAGGGAATACAACTATGCTTTCATTTAAAATGCTTTTTCAATCAAACTAATAGAATCTCCAGTTCAATCTCCAGCACAACCACCTCTTACCTTTTTAGAAATTAGATGTTTCTTCTGGGAGTTATCTGCATACCATTTGTTAATTTTATTTTATTATTATTTTTAATTTTTTTAAGAGAGACAGGATTTCCTCTGTGGCCCAGGCCGGAGAACAGTGGTGCGATCAGAGCTCACTGCAGCCTTGAACTCCTGGCCTCAGATGATCCTCCCTCATCAGCCTCTGGGGTACCTGGGACTACAGGTGGGGGACACCACACCTGGCCACTTTTACATTTTAAATATGTACTCCTTGACTTCCTGGTACACTGAAAAGAACTTGGCTCACACCTCCGCCCCATCTCCCTTCCTCTCGTGCTCTCAACACAATTCTTTTTTGACTACGAAATATTTCCACAGTTTTAGAAATAGCCCCAGACTTCCTCTCTTTCCTCCGCTAGTGTCTCCCACATTTCTCCACCAACATTTTCACCTCAGGCTTCCTCTCTTCTCTCCCCAAGCTTCTGCCATAAACACTTTCCCTTTTACGTTCTCTTGATTGATTGCATCCTCTTTCACAACTCTAATTAAGCCTTCCATGCTTCGCCTTTGGAGTGATTCTGAAATCAACAAACACACAGGGCCCTCTTCCCGGCCAGTAGTCTATCTCTTTATCTCTGCTTTCTGGTAAGGCTTTTCTTTGATTTGGAATTTCAAACAGCTTTTCTTTTCTTCTTCCTTCATCATAGTCTCAGTTTTCCCCTAACTTGCCATCCCAGTGGGCATTCTATTTAGTTCTTTGCCCTCCTCAAAGTCTGCCTTCTACGACCTCTGTCCTTCTGCTTTGGTCTAGACAGTGATTTGGGTATTT